CATCGCTGCATGATACAAACTAAAACTCATTGATTTAGTTAAACTTTTTGAATCACAAAGATTATTCAGTGAGTTGTGCAGACACAACAATAATGGTTATTGCTAGCAGAAAACTGCCAATGTTAAATAATCATTTAGTTATGATCATTATGTAAAATATTAGCTAGGTGACCTGGTGGAGCGTGCCACCCATAGCGAGGCTGGCCCATGACTCTTTGCCCTGTTTCAATGTATTTGACCTATACACATGCCATAAAGGCAAAAAGGTATACAAAAAAAAGTACTAGAATTTTTAAGGACATTTTCAACATTGCATCCGACCAATCTGCTGCCAAATAGTTTCTAAAATGAAATATCTCAACAACAAAAAATCTAACACGCATTTTTGCCCTCCTTAATTGAGATGTGTGAAGTTTGGATTTGACTCCCTCTGAAGCACTGTGTCCCAAAGTCAGTGAGACTGTGATAATTAAGAAGTTGCACCAATGAAATGTGCGGAAAGTCACTTAACACACATTTGTAGGCATTCGACAATCATTGAACTGCATAACAACATGTATATCTACTACTGAGTTAATTCAGCAACTGTATCTAAGATATTGCCAACATCCTTGTATTTTTTTAAAGCTGTAAAATCAGTAAAAGGCGTTCAATTCAGGCCATAAGGAGAAAGGTTGCAGCTCTGAGGTGACACCTGTTTCCAATCCTTCCTTTCATTTCTCGGCTTCTTGCTGGAGAAGGATGTTGTTTGGATTGTTATTAATGACATGGCGTCAGCACTCCTGATCTTACATACTCTCTCTGAACATGATCCTGATTCATCAACATGACTCAGTCCCTTATTCACTGCCCTGATCATACTGTGGAGAAAATCTAATCAGTAATCAAGTCACGATAATCCTGATCAAATACATCGATATCTATGTATGTATATATGCATAAGGAACATTTTGATAAATAATCATCAGTTTTGTGAATATAATGACTAAGTGGCTAAAATCAGTTGCTAGAACAGTCTAATAACTTCAGAAAAATACATCGCTTTAATGTAATTCAGCCTTTAAAATCAGGAACAGACGATATTTCGTATTCTCATATATACGAGTATATTTTTGACATGTTGCTGAGCCCTTATCATACTGGATTTTATGAAAGGGAAGATTCACATCGGCCTGCTTTACTTTATCACACATTGAGAAGTGCCTTGCCTCAGGGCGCCTGTCTGTCTGATAGTGACTGCTGGTTTGTCTTCAGTATGTTGTCGCCCTCCTCCTCTCTTGTTCTGAGAGCTATAGGGAGACAGCTGCTCTCTCTAGTGGCTGCAGAGAGGCAGTGCACACTTTTAAAAAGCTGTGATGATGAGGAGAAGTTTCCAGATGAAACAGTTGTCTCTGTCTCTGCTGCAGCGATAGCTTCCTGTGTTGTTTGACGTTACCGTGGCATCCTGAAAAAAAGATAATCTGTTCTTGTTTGCTACTTTGAGATCGCATAAACACTGTGTCCCTTTGTCTGCATTGCAAGCCTGTTCTAAAGGCTTCTTCAGATGCAGAGCTAAAGAAGTGGAAATATTATTATTGATCCATCTATTATCTATTTTCTTGAACGCATCTCGGCTGATGTCACGCAGCAGCAGAGGCACGATGGTTAGGTTGACATTCAGGCTGCAATTTTGGCAACATAAGCTACTTGACGACTTGTTGATTGACGGAACAATAATCGACATCTATTCTAATATTAGCCTTAATTCACTGATTAACACTGAAGGGCAACAACAGCTTCTTCAGGAGGACGGAGAGGGACTACTCTATGAACTCACTGTGGACTGTCTGCACTGTGAAGCAACACCAACCAAAAAGTTAAATACCTTAGAAAAAATACTTTTCACTCAAACATTATTCATTATTTTTTGTACTGTATCATAAAGGGACACATATTTAACCTAACAGAGACCTCTAACAAGATGTGTGTGTGTATTTGCTCCATATTAGATAAATAAGATCCAAAACAAAGTGTATATTTTCTTCTCAAACTATTCTTAATATCGGAGGAGAGACGACACTCTGGAGCTTCTGTTGTTTTTGCACTTTGCCTCGTTGCTTCACAATCCTGACTCTTTATTTTATGACTTATAAGTACATGGGTAATAATAATATTTTTCTACAATAAATGTGTGAAGTATGATATTGTATATTAAAAACTGACAGAGTCACTGAAGTTAATGTATTGCTCTTAATCCTCCAGATGAAGAATCATACTTTAAACAGTCAAACATAATTAAGATCATTAAAAATATGATTCTTCTTCTTGAGGTTTCACATCAACGTTCTTCCACTGATGTTTTTTCTCTCGTGTGTGTGTTTCTCTAAAGTGTGTGTTGTGTTTTGGAGTCTGGGTTCATCTGCACTGCAGTGTTGGAGCAGGAGAGCCTAATGGGGTGCACACAGAAAGCACATTTTGTAAGATGCAGAAATATTAAATGTACACGTTTGTAGCTCATTCGCTAAATTAATTTTAAAGACAGCGCTTTCAGTTTTCTCTCCTGCTCTGAATACAAAGTGAAGAAGAACTCATGCTTTACGATCTGCACTGAGAGCAGAGTCACATATTAAACTGTTGTTCTTTGAAAGGAAAAGTACATTTTAGCAATAAGCACAGAGCTTCCTTTGAATACATTTGATGCAATGCGAAAGACTTTGAAAGAAGCACTATAAAGGATAAATATAAGGCTCTGCTTGAGAGTAGAACGGCACACAATCTCCTAAAGTCGTCTTCTCTACATTAGAGATTTGTCATTTTGATTCTATGCAGCTTTTATACTGTCAGCTGACCTTCATCATCCTCCTCCTCCTCCTCTGTGAGTTTATCTGTAATGTGCCACATCAATAATTCATTTATTTAAACCTCACATGTTGTATTTTTATCAAGTCATTATTTTCTTCTTTGAGCACTGTACGTTTGTAAAAGGGAAATATTAACCAAGTGTTTGTCTTCCATTTCTAATCATTGTTGTTATTTACATTTTTTTTTTTATGGACAATAAAAGGGAATATTATTTATGCTGTTTTGGGTTTAGCTGTTGTCTTGTTTTGTGAAATAATTGAAAACAACAAAGATTAGACGAGAGTAGTTCATGTATAGTTGTGTTTGCTGTGTCTTGTAGCGGCCATATTGTCCCAAGCTGTTTATAGTGTAGTCAGTTACACAACATGACAACACAGAGCTGGAGGAGATTAGTGGATGGAAATATTTATTGTAACATTTAGTAAAAGATGAAGACCATAAACTGTTTAAACTGCCAATGTTCAATTCATGTCCAGTTTATTTTCATTAAACTATGGAAATGACTGCGTCTGTTCTAATTCATTCTTTTTGCCCAGTTATTTTTCTCTCACGTGTGTCTGCGTCTTTATAATTGGAAAGCGTCTGGAAGTTATATTTAATGACAACTGTTGACAGTTAAGTCTCAATTATGCTGAATGACTGTAACAGTTTAAACCCTAAATTATATCCCAATTATTGTGCGATAATTGTGGCAGAATAGTTTAAATGTATCTTGTTTCACCACAGGCGGTGCTTACACATTTATTTATGTTTAAAGTGGACCCATCATGCTATATTTGAATAATATATTGTAGGGCCATACCTATATAAAACATGTCTGTGAAGTTTTTTTTTCAAAATACCAAACAGATCATGCATTTTAGCCATGCCTCATTTCGCTCTATTTGCTGTATTCCAGCCCTGTTTTTGCAAGGGCTGATTCTGTGGCAAATGAGCTGCAGCTGACCACGCCCCCCTTCAAAGGAGGGGGGCGAGGCACGAGCATCATGTTACCATGCTGTTACCATGCCACGGCAACCTCTCATTCCCCTGATAGGTGGAGAGTTGCCATATAGGCGGAGCACCCCGTTTCTGACGTCAGAACAATTTCAAATCTGTATCAGTCTGTATCAGATCCGTTGCAGCCCCGTTTTTAGAGATTTGGGTATGGAGGAAAATAGAGAGGGTTGTGTTTTCTGACACTTGGTGAGTTCCCTGGAACACCGGGGACACATATTCATGTATAAAAGACGTACACAAGTGCATTTTGAATGATAGGTCCCCTTTAATACATTTTCCACAACGTTTGCAAAGACATCGTTATAACATACTTAACATTTCTTAATATACATTTTTATGGCATAAAATGACAATCCTACAAGGTAAAAAAATGAAAACGAATGCTAAAACAATTGTATTTTTTATGAAATACTACAATATATAATGTTTTGACATTGTTTAGGACAAACCAAGATGTTGCAGTATTTTTGCAAATGAAAGGACTTTGTCTTGATGATTTGTGTCAAAGGAAAAGCCAAAACATATAATATCAAAGAGAAACTTTTAAAATACAAAATTTGAAGAAAAAACAGGGATACGTAATAATATATTTGTACGTATTGTACTCTAACACTTTGTTATGATTTTCTATACTATGACATTTGAATAACACATAATTAACTATTATTGCTACTTAATTGATATGACATACTGTAATTTTATTACTTTTTCTATATTTATCAAAATCAGTCAACCGGGAGTGAAAATATGGAAACAACTATTTTTTATCCTGAAAAATGCCTCCTCCATTAACCCCAAAACCACTGCACAATTGTCCAATTCAGCCAAGCCATTTTTTTACTTGTTTCCCCTATAATGGTAATTCATGCTTATTAACGCAACATCTGCTTAATGTACAAATTGCCCAACATATGCAAGTTAGCACCCGGCAGTTTCTATGTGCTGGGGTCGGGACCCGTACTTTACACTTCTAACATAAAACTTTGGTGTACTCAACATTTCCAGGTTCACAGCAGCACTGTATTATTGTATAGGTCTTAAAGGATTTAATCTTATTTTATTAACCTAACATGCTTCAATAGCCATATTTATTTTTAAGTTGGTCTTTTTTATTTCTTAACCTTTTAACCTTTATTAGAATTATGGCATTTTTATTTCCATTATCTTCTTCTTTTTTTCTGTTGTACCAAAATGTTCACTTTGTTTTGTGGGGTTTTATATTTTATATTATTGCATCGATTTAGTTGTCTTGTGTCTGAACTGTCAATATTTATTTATTATCATACATTTTACCTCCTTGTGTCTATTAACCTGATAAAATGTTATATTTTGCTGCATGCACCTTTTAAAGTTCTTAACAAATAATCTGAGGGGAAATATTTTTCTTTTTTTTCTTTGACTTGACATTTTGTAAAGCACTTTGAGCTGCATGTGTTGTATGAAAATTGCTATATAAATAAAGCTTTATTATTATTATTAATGTAGACTGTGTGAAACCCAAATAGCTTTTGTTTACTAATTAAAACCCTACAAATGAATTGAGTTGAAGCAGCATCTGATTTAGTTACAGGGGAGTAGAGAGGAGAAAAAGCGTCTTCTGCGTGTCCAAAGTCGTTTCTACCCAAAGGACGAAGTAGATGACGTTATCTGGATCACCACAGGGGGCGCTGTGGGGCGAGGACCCTGCACGGAGGGACACATCCTCCTCAAAGCAGGTGAGTTTACGCAGGTGAGTTTACACAGGTCCTCTTCAGTCTGCAAGATAACAAAGAAAAGTTGATACCTTTAAGAGTTTACTTTCATGTTTTTTCACATGATCATCGTTTAAGCATGAGAGCTGCTTCGTGTGAAATGTTCATCTTTTTTTAAATATGGAAGTTCTTTCTCTCTGTTCACACATCTTAACTTCCTTCTCAAAAGAGTCATCGCTTTTGTCTTTAGAAATAACCCCACCCTGCACTGTTTCCTGTTTCTTAAGAAGGCAACAGGTTATACTGAGAAACAAACGCTGATGTTAAACTTTGACTTTACTCTAGTTATTTTAGCATTTGAAGTCCAAAGATACTGTTTTCTGAACTCAAAGCTTCAGTCATATCTCAGTGTTTGCTTACTGTCTTCTGAGAAGTGTCTGCAGTGGGAAGTGGAGAGAACAGACATTTCTATAGGAGGAGATCTGCTGCCTCTGTCCTCCTCTCTGACCTCCTCACACTCTGTTAGCCTGCAGGAAGTGAGGACAGGTTTGTATTCATATCAGCTGTTTGCACGAACATTACAAATGCTGAGATTTACTCAAACTCACCTCTGTGACATTGACATACTCAGCTTCATCAGCAGTTTCTAAAAGACATCACATTCAGAAGATTAGGTCCAAACGATTGCTTTTGTTATGTGTTTGTTTCCTGTAAACTCACCTCTGGGTTTCCTGGCCCTCTTCCAGCAGAATATCAGCACAGACGCTGAGAGTACGATGAACATGACGACCAGAGTCAGACGCACATACAGCACCACACCTGAGAGCAGAACAACACTTTGTTTACTCTGATACTTCCTGGTCCATAAACACAAACAACAAACTAAAAGTACCGTGACCATCTGAAGCTGTCTGTCCCTGTTGAGAGACAAAGAGACCCTTTGTGGTGGTCAGTGTGGAGGCTGATGGGGATGATGTTGAAAACGGTCGGGGAGTCACTTCTGGTTTTGAAGATGTTGGAGCTGTGCACAAAAAGAAAACCCAATGAAACAGAAATCAGATACTGATTGAACAAAGAACGCTAAGATGTCATTGAAATAAAATGTATCTGCAAATGCATCAGAGCACATGTGTTTGGTGCAACAATATTTAAATAACCTATAATGTTTGTGGTGGATATCTACGGAAGAGGATTAGGGCCACATGAAAAAGAAAAAGGGGGGATGTGAACAAATCAGTATTCTGACTTTTTTCTCAGAATTCTGGTGGCCCTAATCCTCTTCCGTAGATATCAGATATTTAGCAGATTATATTTAGTTTAGTTTTTTAATAGGAGCATTTTAAAATATACAGCTCTTAATATAACTGTAACACTAAACATATTCGGTTATTTGGAACAGCAGCGGAGGTTCGTGAACAGATCAATCAAAACTCCCGGAAGAAACTCACCATCTTTAACTCTGATCTCAAAGTCCTGGTGTGAGCCAGGGAAAAGTACAGATCTGTCCAGACCACATTGGTACCGTCCTGCGTCAGACTTGGTCAGCTTTGTGATGCTCATATACAGAACTGTTTCACTTACTGGAAAAGATCCTTCCACATATCTGATGCTGTATCGGCCTCTCTGTTCTGAGTCTCCGGTCGTTTCTACCAGAATGTTTCCTTCTTCACATTTTCCCTTACAGAACATCTTCCTTCTTCCAGAGAAAGGAAAGGAGCATGCAACTGTGAAGTTTGTTCCTTCAGTTTCTGTACGGTCGAGGTTTTGTGCGTTGGTGAGCCCACTGTTTCCATCCCTCAGTGCTGTTGAAAAGACGAGTGAATATTTACTATATTCCTTTAATACACTGCAGTCTGATGAACAACATTTCCTGCTTCACATTTCCTAAGATTTAAATATATTTTAGATTGTCCAAAAATGTTGTTAACATTATCAAATGTAATATTTTGCAGTAAATTTGATAATGATTTGTTTTAAGTGATTTATAATTGTTATAAATGGAGGAGAGATGGTGCCTTTATTACTACTTTTACCCCTCCCACGATTACAAAATGTTCATTAACTCTCTGTCCAATACATTTAGGTGAATCAAATCCTGCTTTTTATTGGTTGCCAAAAATATTTAATTTAATACAGTGCTGCATTTTAGCTTTTTTATTCATAGTCAGCGGCAGGGACAAAATAAAATGTATCAACATGTCATAATAAAGTCTGCAAATAAGGTTTATAATTTCATAATTTAGCAGTTCTCGTGAAAATGACTGGTCGCCTCTCTGCATGTGAAACATTATGATGCGTTTGTTACTGGTTTTAATCAAATGAACTAAGTGGGTTAGCAAAGGTAAAGTTAATGAAAGAAAGGCCTTGAGGAACTGAAATTACTGCTAAGATTTATTTTGGTTGCAACTTGTGGTTATTACTCAACAGTCGGTCTGATGAAACAGGAAATAACGTTACCAATCAGCAGACTAAACCCAGCAAGAAGCAACTATAAACCCAAAGAAGCAGTACAGAAGAACAATGGTTGATTGCAGATTGTCGAGCTGAAACACAAAGGCTTGTTTCTATTTTCAGGGACTAACTCATATTTGTAATGAACTACTTTTTTTAAAGAGACTCTCTGTGTTAATCCACAGAAACCAACAACAGGTTTTTGGACTGATATGAGACGATGCACTCACCAGACAGTGCAGTGCAAACTTTAAATATAAATACAAAAAACAAATAAAGTAAAAATAAAAGAGAGACTGATAGAAATATTTAGTTAATTTACTCACTGAGGAAGAAGAAGCAGATCAAAGTGTGCCGGACGTTCATGTCTGATGGTTTACTGCTGTCTCTCTTCTGTCTTCAGGAACTGCTTTACTTCTCTAAATGATGAGAGTCCTCCTCCAAACACTCTGAACTCTAGTTTCTCATGCCAATAAGTTCATTTTTTGTGTATCATTAAAAAATGTAAATAGACTTTGTTGTAACTTCATGTCAATCATAACATGTTGTGTTAGTGTTTTGTAAAATAACGTGTATGACTATCATATCAACTCGTTTTCGTCCAATCAGACCATTTTCTTTCTTTTTTCAAATCTACCAGGTTACTAGCTTCAATTACAACATTTCTTGTTTGAAAAATACATAATGTTGTATTTATAAAACTTGCTATAAACAACATCTTTAAACACATCACCATTTTTCTTAATTTGTTTATTTTGTATTTATTTTTTAAATCATTCCTTTAATATAAATCATTTAAAAGTTATGCATCTTTTTTTCCACATAAGTCGTGCTAGGAGGTAAAGCATGAACAATGAAGAAATGTCTGCTGCATGTCATCCCCTCTCTCTTCAATATATCTGTCTATACATGTAACACAAAGCCAAATTCTTAAAAAAATAATCTTTAAATAAATGTATATATTTACATATGTGTGTGTAAATCACTACTGACAGGTTTTTCTATTTGTCAGGCCATTGTTTTGATAATGGTTAGAGCTATCACATGAACACATCAAATATAGTCTTGAAACACACCACAGGGGGCGCTGTGGAGCGAGGAAGCTGTAATGTTGGGAAACCTCTGAGCCGGTGGGTTTACTTGAGTCATCGTCAGTCTGCAAGAAATAAAATAAATGTTTTCAAAATCAAAATAAAATTGAATATGGAAGTTCTTTCTCTCTGTTCACAAATCTGACCTCCCTTCTCAAAAGATCGAACGCTTGTGGTTTTGAACAGATTTTGGAGTTGTCACATGAGCATCATTTCAGCTTTGAAGCTGCTTCATGTAAAAGGTTTCTTAAACATGGAACTTTAAAACAGCATTTCTCTTGCTTTACAATTGAGTCACATTAATGACTTAATCCTCAAAAGAACTGAAACTTGTGGCTATAAAAATAACCCTACACTGGCTTGGTTCCTGTTTCTTAGAAGGCAGCAGGATACTACAACATGTACTGATGTTTAACCATTTTTAGAACACTTTTTTTTAAATGTGTCTCACAAAGAAGAAAGATGTCTCAGAGTTGCTTACTGTCTTCTGAGAAGTGTCTGTAGTGGGAAATGGAGAGAACAGACATTTCTACAGGAGGAGATCTGCTCCCTCTGTCCTCCTCTCTGACCTCCTCACACTCTCTGTCAGCCTGCAGGAAGTGAGGACAGGTTTGTATTCATATCCAACACATTCTCACTCCCAACTCGGCCTATGTTGACGTTATGTCAGGGTCCCTGTTGTCACTTTCAAGGCAAGGGGGGGCCCTTTAGCGTCAAATTTAAACTTTCGGGATGTCCATAGACTTCTATAGAGCTCCCTGAACGTTGGTAGTAGACGAGTTGAGATCGCGGAGAAATGCTCTCGGCAGATCCATTCTCACAGCGTTTATCAACCTTTTTCTTACTCAATATCAAGCCACACTTATTCTTTTTACGTCTTTATTTTAATTGAATAATGTCGGACTTTTGTTGCTGTCAGTTATAGGGCATTACAATACATCTATCGATATGTGTGTACCTCCATCATTGAATTGTCATATTCTGCACATTTCTTATTCTATCTACATACATCTTATAAGAGTATAATTAATATGTATAATACCAGTTAAAATAAGTGCTTCAACATAGTTAACATTGCAGGAAAGTTGATTGTCAAGTCCCAAAACAAACTATGCAATATATTAGACGTTAAGTACTTTGTCAGGCTTAATATTTATCTGTAGATACCCCCAAAGCTTTTTTCTTATTTAAAAGAAGACCTTAACCTAAAGTATTCTTTAATGTTTGAATAAAGCCTTATTAGTTTGTCTGTTTTGCACATCCTCATATTAATATCTTTGTACATCCGGCACTAAACTGTTTTATTGAAGAGATCACAACAGTATCTTCTTGATATTTTCTGTTCAATATTTCTATCATTGACCTTCTACTTTCCCCCTAATGTGTATCTACTCTAATATTTGTATGTTTTCATCGAATATAACATATCAACAAAAAAAATCAATAACGTGCTTTACCCACTAGGCGGGTTAAAAAACTGTCAAGTTTACAGTGTTAACACAATAAAATATACTGCTGTTTCCAGTTTAGTTTATGATGGATGTATTTTATTATACACACATATATTGTTTTTATATTTGTAACACCAAACCGACAGAAAAGATGATCTTAACATGACCCAGTGGTCTAGTTAATACAAAATATATTATCAAACATAATATTAAAATGAACTCTTATTTTAAAAATACAGCTTCCTGTGTTCGAATGAGCTGCTCTGACTGTCGGTCCTGACGGACTCCAAAAGTCCGACATTATACAATCAAACAAATAAATAAACACAAGGATAATTGTGTCTTATTGTTGAGCAAATAACAGTGTGTGGTTTAGAAAAGAATACAAAATTAGAAGGAAAAAACGATGAAACAATACAGATTTCAGTTTTCTGAGCCCCCACTCTCTCCCTAACTGACAGCAACAAAAGTCCTACATTATTCAATTAAAATAAAGAAGTACAAACAATAAGGGTGGCTTGATATTGAGTAAGAAAAAGGTTGATAAACACTGTGAGAATGGATCTGCGGAGAGCATTTCTCCGCGATCCCAACTCGTCTATTACCAACGTTCAGGGAGCTCTATGCAAGTCAATGGGGACTCCCTGATAGTTGAATATTGACGCTAAAGGGCCCCCACTGCGTTTGATAGTGACGCCAAGGGATCCTGACATAACGTCAACATAGGCTGAGTTGGGAGTGAGAATGTGTTGTCATATCAGCTGTTTGCACAAACATAAAAAATGCTGAGATGTACCCAAACTCACCTCTGTGACATTGACATGCTCAGCCTCATCAGCAGTTTCTAAAATACATCACATTCAGAAGATTAGGTCCAAACGATTGCTTTTGTTATACGTTTGTTTCCTGTAAACTCGCCTCTGGGTTTCCTGGCCCTCTTCCAGCAGAATATCAGCACAGATGCTGAGAGTACGATGAAAATGACGACCAGAATCAGACGCACATACAGCACCACACCTGAGAGCAGAAGAACACTTTGTTTACTCTGATACTTCCTGGTCCATAAACACAAACAACTAACTAAAAGTACCGTGACCATCTGAAGCTGTTGGTCCCTGTTGAGGCTGCGTGGTGCGTTCAGGGGAGGCTGATGATGGTACGGAGCTTAAACTCTGCGTGGTGCGTTCAGGGGAGGCTGATGAAGGTACGGAGCTTAAACTCTGCGTGGTGCGTTCAGGGGAGGCTGATGAAGGTATGGAGCTCAGACTCTGAGTGGTGGTCAGTGTGGAGGCTGATGGGGATGATGTTGAAAACGGTCGGGGAGTCACTTCTGGTTTTGAAGATGTTGGAGCTGTGAAACAAAAAGAAAACACAATGAAACAGAAATCAGATACTGATTGGACAAAGAACGCTAAGATGTCATTGAAATAAAATGTATCTGCAAATGCATCAGAGCATTTCTAATCATGTACGGTAGCTAAATGCAGGAGGTAATGAATGTGTTTAAACAATATTTAAATAACCTATAATGTGTGTGGTGAATATCTACGGAAGAGGATTAGGGCCACATGAAAAAAAAATCTGAATTCTGAATCCTGACTTTTTTCTCAAAACAAAAAAATATATTTTGGGAGAAAAAGTCAGAATTCTGATTTGTTTTTTCTTATAATATTATGGAGGGGACATGGAGAAGAAAAAAAAATTGGTTGAAAAAATAAATGTTCTCGTAAAACTTTTCATTTAGCTCAATAGGCGCGTTCACACCGCAGTACTTTTCCCACTTTAGTTCCGATATAGTTCCGAAATGTTGCGTTCACACCAAAAAAATCCGGAACAAAAATTAGTTAATGAGAACCTTTTTACCCCCTTTTCCGTCAGTTTTTCGTCCCTGCTAGAGAGCAGGTACTTTCGTGGGAGAAAAAGGGTCCTATGTCTGATTGGCTGGGCGGATTGCAAACCACGCGCCGTAAAACTCCCAAAAGGTTTTGTGCAGCCGCCATTTTATTATCCTCGCATTAGCATTATTAGCATTAGCATTCGCCCAGCGCACAAACTCAGAGAGACTAACTTATGGCAACACAAAATAAAACATGGGAGCGGTGGAGATGAGGAGGTGTCGGCGTTCTGGCGATTTACTCGGAAGAACGCAATGAATTTTCTATGAGTATATATTTTCGGCGTTGCAGTTTGTAGACGGTCCCTAAGCACTCCTCTCTCTCCTCCAGCTGCAGATTGTGACCAATTCTTGAAGTTTAGCTCGGATGACGGCGCGTATCGAACTGTTCTGATAAAAACGACTCTGTAGCTCGTTGTCTACCTTGCTATTCTGTAAAGTCATGTTGTTTGTATTTTTACAACGTTATGTTCATGAGTTATTGATCCGCAAAATTCGAATCTGTCAATAACTCAGCTCAGAGTATGCTTTGCGACGTGCATGTCCCCTCGCTCTGAGTGTTCTCTTGAGGTGTCTTTCACTTATGTGAAACCCGTGCCTATTGCCAAGCACTGATGTTATTTATATTTTAGGCCAAGCTCAAAGTAAAAATCGATGAACCGCTCCATTGTTGTGATTTCTGTGTTGCCGAACTGACCCGGAAGTACATTGAGCTAAATTAATTTTAATTTTTTTTATAACCGATTTTTTTTTGTCGACTAGAATTCAGACTTTTGTCTCAGAACTAAAAACAAATAAATTTATATATTTTTCACATCCCCACATTTTTTTTGTCATGTGGCCCTAATCCTCTTCCGTAGTTATCATATATTTGGCAGATTACATTTTGTTTTGTTTTTTAATAGGAGCCTTTTAAAATATGCAGCTCTTAACCCTTTCACGCATAGAGGTCACTACAGTGGACAGCTATTCAAAAGGTGTTTTCTTGTATATGCATGTTTTTTTTTGCATAGTTGCACCATCAGCCACTACATAGGACCCTATTGCATCATCCCATACACTGCCACTCAGTGGAAAGTCAGTGAAAGTGCATGATAAATATCTCTAAACCAAGATGAACGACAGAAAGCCAGATGGACCAAGTCACCTGCCGATATCCTGCCAATCCTTTCATGGAAAGCGCTCCCTGCAGATATAAAACATTTGGTGACATCAAGTAACAACTAAGGAATGATATAATTCATAAATTGTCAAAGTATTGATTTTATGTTTGCAGGAAATCATGATTATTCGCCTGTCCACTACAGTGGACGTCATGCATCACTGGCTATATTTCAACTAAACTTCATACTGTTACTGCTACTGTTCTTCTTGAAAATACTTAATTTGCAATATCTTTTTGGGCCTTAAATATATATACTTAAAGTGGACCTATCATGCTACAATAATATAGTGTAGGACCATACCTATATAAGGCATATTTATACTTTTTTTTTTTCAAAATACCAAACAGATCATGCATTTTAGCCATGCCTCATTTCGCTCAGTTTGCACTTTTTTAGCCCTGTTTCTGCAAGGGCTGATTCTGTGAGAACAGCACCACCTACAGGCCTGGCATATGTACTACAGCTTCTCCAGCGCTTTCGAACGGCAATGGCCGTGGCTGTCTCCTCCTGATTGGTGGAGTTGGCCCAATAGCCGTAGCGCTACCGTCCTGACGTCAGGACAGTGTTCAAATCTGGATCAGTTTTTATCAGATCCGTTGCAGCCCCTTTTTTAGAGATTTGGGTATGGAGGAAAATAGAGAGGGTTGTGTTTTCTGACACTTGGTGAGTTCCCTGAAACACCGGGGACACATATTCATGTATAAAAGACGTACAAAAGTGCATTTTGCATGATAGGTCCCCTTTAAGTTATTATAATGTAATTTTAAGTTTGCACATCTTTATTTATCATTTTTTCCAAATGTAAAAGTTTTCAGTTTAGACTTTAACGCAAACTGTCCAAAAAATGTTTTATATGTCCACCTGAGTGGACCTAAATTTGAAAAAACTAGATAAAAAAAAACTAAAGTTAAAATCTTGTTTTTAATGCCCCAAGAGCAATAAAAAACACTTGGTAAAAAAAATCCTGAGTGAGGCTTTCATAATTCATGCATGAAAGGTAACTGTATAACATGTTGGGTTATTTGAAACAGCAGCAACTGGGAGGAGTTATATCCAAAACTCCCAGAAACTCACCATCTGTAACTCTGATCTCAAAGTCCTGGTATGAGTCAGGGAGAGGAAAAGATCTGTCCAGACCACATTGGTACCGTCCTGCATCAGACTTAGTCAGCTTTGTGATGCTCACATACAGAATTGCGTTAGATAATACAGACCCTTCCACATATCTGATGCTGTATCTGCCTCTCTGAGCTGAGTCTCCGGTCGTTTCTACCAGAATGTTTCCTTCTTCACATTTTCCCTTACAGAACATCTTCCTTCCTCCAGAGAAAGTAAAGGAGCATGCAACTGTGATGTTTCCTCCTTCAGTTTCTGTACGGTCGAGGTGTTGTGCGTTGGTGAGACCACTGTTTCCATCCCTCAGTGCTGTTGAAAAGATGTGCAGTCAATATTTAACATATTCCTGTCATACACTGCAGTCTGATGAACAACATCTCCTGCTTCACATTTCCAAAGATCAAGATTTAAATATATTTTAGGTTGTCCAGAAATGTTGATAACATTATAAAATGTAATATTTTGCAGTAAATTTGATAATGATTTGTTTTAAGTGATTTATAATTGTTATAAATGGAGGAGAGATGGTGCCTTTATTACTACTTTTACCCCTCCCATGATTACAAAATGTTCATCTGTCCAATACATTTAGGTGAATAAAATCCTGCTTTTTATTGGTTGCCAAAAATATTTCATTTAATACAGTGCTGCATTTTGCTTCTTTTTTTCATAGTCAGCGGCAGGAACCATCCTCTGCTAATTGCAGAGGTGGGACCAAGTCATTGTTTTGCAAGTCCGAGTCAAGTCTCAAGTCTTTGCGCTCAAGTCCGAGTCAAGTCTCAAGTCTTTGTGCTCAAGTCCAAGTCAAGTCTCAAGTCAGGATGGGCAAGTTCAAGTCAAGTCCAAGTCCTAAACTTTGACAAAACGAGTCTTAAACAAGTCATTATGTGCTTTTCACCAAATGTAATGACATCGATCAACAGAATAATACTTAATAATCAAACTGCTCTTTATTAGTCACATTAATACTGTAATAATCTATTTTCTCTCTGCTGGTAAAGTAACGTGTTTTCTTCTATTGTAAGAGGGATCAGTAATGTATAAAACTCCCCCATTACTTGGACTATTCCTTGCACCCCCTAACATAGGCCCGAATGGTTTCAACCATGTTGCAGTACTAACGTGCACTTGTTGTCGTAGCAGGATCACACGGACACTAGTAGCATCGGACAATTGAGAGTGTTGTTAATTTTGTGTGTTGTGGACATGCGTGTGCGTGCATGAAAATGTAAGTGCATATATTCTTGCCTAGTTCTGTTATTTGTGGGTTAATGTTCATAATACAGAGCTTACTCTGCAATAGAAGGCAGTTAGCAATAGCCGCTAACTTTGCCATGCTGACTATGGGACAGCACGAGGTGCGGCTGCACCAGGCATGCTCCCTCACACTGCATAATGAACAATGTTACGCCAAGTTGATGCAGGGGCCAATGTATGCAGTGTTCTTTATATTGTAGTCATTATAGAGACTTCATTGTGTGCATTCCTGTATGTTGTTCATGCGTGATTGTTTATAATAGTTAATTACTTTATGTAATAACGTGTCACTTCTATCGCCATTCTGTTGCGGCCTTTGGCCAATAGAGGGCAGCATAGGCCAGCTAATTGTGCCATTTCTTTATCCACTTAATTTACTGTGTAACAATGTCACTGGTCATTATCCCTCTATGATACATGTTTATTCATACCTGTTTATCTTTATATTACAGATACCACACCCATCCAATTACCATTACATGTACCATTCACTACCCTGGACAATTAATAAAGTACTTAAAATGGAACAGCCTGTGGAAAGCCGTTCTTCCTCACACGTCTGTCGCCGACACCTTCTAACAGAGGACAGGAAAATCTAGCTGCAGCACGACCCGTATATTTTGCACGCCGTGTTCTCAACAAATGGTCCTTCGAGCCGGAATGTGTTGACAGCTTTTCCTAATGGCGACATCACGACATCATGATGAGGAAGAGGAGCAAGGTGCTCGTCCTAGACGGACCCACAGGGTCCCAGGACATCTAGAGGACTATGTTCTGGCTCATCCACCCCAACGGCTTGTTCCCCCTACGTCAGAGTACATACAAAGCAGCTACGTTGACTATCAACCAGGGTTGAACTATCAAACATCCTCACCAGAACGACGCTGGACTGAAATGAGAGAAGACCATGAAACGGAC